GGAGGGGAACACAAGCAGAACACCTGTGCCACCTTCGAGGAAGGAAAGCATCACTCCCTGCAAGAATGAAACTCGAGGAAGGAATCCAAAGGATGGGAAAACTCTAGACTTGATTGCCCTCAAGACAGTGATCAGGGGTCTATAATACATGCAGTGGCAATCAATAATGATATGCTCTTCTGCCTTGAGTTTCTTTCTCTTTCTTTCTTTCTTTCTTTTTTTTCCTTTCTTTCGTTTGCGTTTTGTTCTTACTGCTTATTCACATTGCTCTTCCGGGGGCTGTACCATAGGGGACCTTTTCTTTCCGTAGGGGAGGATGTAATGCCCGTACATTCCAAAAAAGAAAGAAAGGCGGCAAAGACTTTGGCGCTTTCTTCGAGTCAACACTTACTTGTGTTTTGTCATAAATAGATTTGTACAAAGTATCCGGAATACCAACTGCATCAGCCTGCCCACAAATAGTCTCTGAAATGAGCTCTTTAGTGGCTTCAAGGTCTAATTCCCTGGAATAGATCGATAGTCAGGAAGACAACACCATTAGTCTTGTGCTAAGAGGAATAGCAACTGCGTCAACACACCCACAAATAGTCTCTGAAATGAGCTGTTTGGTGGCTTCAAGGTTCAGTTCCCTGGAATGGAGCGATAGTCAGGAACACAATAGCATTAGTCTTGTGCTATCAGGAATACCAACTGCATAAGCCCGTCCACAAATAGTGTCGGAAATGAGGTGTTTGGTGGTGGCTTCAAGGTCCAGTTCCCTGGAATAGATCGATAGTCAGGCACACAATAGCATTAGTCTTGGTTGTCACTGTTCGCTTTCGTCAAAGTCCAAACTCTAAGCTATGCAGGAGGCTTCTTTGTTTTCTCCTTTTTCAAAAATAAAAAAGAAAAAAAAAAGAAAAAAAAGGAAAAGAAGCAGCATATTGCGGCATTATTGCCCCATGGGTAAAAGAACTCTGCTCTTATAAAACTAACTTTAACTAAGCTGTGTACAGAGCCAGAACCTTGGGGGTTGGGGTTTTAGAAGTCCCGGCAGCAATAGGCCTGCTATGCAACTCCAGTACGCATCGCAAAAGTTGACAGCCATAGAGCTGAGAGGAACAAGTAGGACTAGGCTTCAAGAACAGATAATAGGTTACAAATAGAAATCCTAGCAGACAAAGTAGGGCCAAACTCCGATTCCAAAGACAGATAGGATCACTTAGGCAGGGGTGAGGGGTGGTACACCCTTCCAAATGGAAGTAATCAATGCCCGTCCATTCAGGCCTCTCAACCATAATGGGCAGGAGTGTGCGTGAGTAACTGCTGCAACTACTCTTGACTTGCCGGTGGAATAGGAACCGGACTGATGCTCCCCAGAATGGAACGGAGCCAGAACCGTAAGGTTCTGTTTTTTCCCAAAAAAAAAACAAAAACAAAAAAAACTTCAACTGTTTTTTAAACCTTTTTTTTTGTTTTTGTTAGGAGTGGTGATAAGAGCACCACTCCTACCATCTTGGCTTGGAACTCCATTCTTTTTTTTTTTTTTTTTTTTTTTTTTGATAACTTCGCAGAAGGGAGTCACTTGAGGAGGTGGTAAGAGCATCCTCCTCAAGTGGCCCCTCCGATGAAGGCTCCATCTATTGGTCGGGAGCTGCACCTGCTGGAAACTGGGTCCAGCGTCCTGCCGTCCCAGATATCACATTACACAGTTGAGGTTCTCGACCCGTAGTTTGGCCTTTGTGCTGCTGAAGTACCATTGCTTCCTATAGTCTCCATTCTATTCGTGGGTATAAAACTAATTTTACCTAAGCTTTTTTTTTTTTTTTTTTTTTTTTTTTTTTTTTTTTAAAGCAAATCGTCCAGGATTGTTAGGAGTGGTGATAAAAGCACCACTCCTACCATATTGGCTTGGAATTCCATTCTATTGGAGGGTAAAAATCTAAGCTGCATTCCTCTCTCAGGTATGCTCACACTACCTACCTGTGTACAGTGTACAGGGAGCGGGCGACTGTATGCAGGAAGCAGCCGAAATCTACCAGACCCAGAAACGTTTCTTTTTTCCCCAGCCGAAATACGGGTTCAGAACTTCAGCTCGATAGTCAGGAACACACCAGCATTAGCCCGGATATAAACAATGGTCTCCTCCAAGTGCATCCTGGAGCAATCGCAAACAGCACAGCCCCTCCTTGTGTATGTTCACACAGACAGACGCACCACCAGGCACCCGGCACTAGTGCCAAAAGGTAAGTCCAGGTCAGCTTCTCTCTCTCTCTCTCTCTCTCTCTCTCTCTCTCTCTCTCTCTCTCTCTCTCTCTCTCTCTNCTCTCTCTCTCTCTCTCTCTCTCTCTCTCTCTCTCTCTCTCTCTCTCTCTCTCTCTCTCTCTCTCTCTCTCTCTCTCTCTCTCCCCCCTCAGAAGTCCTGAATCCTGATTGCCCTCTTCCTCGCCCTACCTCTATGCTACAGCTATGGCACTCAGCCGCCCTCCCTAGCTATGGCTTCTCTCTCTCTCTCTCTCTCTCTCTCTCTCTCTCTCTCTCTCTCTCTCTCTCTCTCTCTCTGTGCTGCCTTCTCCTTCCCCGGCACCAGCCTATCCTGCCTCTCCCCAGCGCTGTGGGGAGCAGCATCCACGTGGCAGCATGAGTGAGCCGACTGGGACAGGAAGCTCTTTGTAGAGTTGACCGGTCTTGGCCTGACTCAGTTTGCCACGTCAGATGGTGGAGATTTCTCGATCTGGATGGCCCAGATTTCGCTGTCGGCCAATGTGCACCTGGACCCAGTAACTGTCGGAGCATCACAGGCAGCCTTCGATTGTGCATCAGATCTGTGACCGTGGTTTGACTCCGGAGAAATCTCTGATCCTTGACCTACTTTTACCGAGTTGGGCCCGACTCCTGATTTCCCCTAAATGTTACATGCCCAGTTGGGCGATGCACATACAAACCGAGGATCCGCAATGTGACTGGAACAGATCGCGCGTCTTGCCCCGCAGGCACCGCACGGGGTTAACCCGCTGACCTGGTTGGAGGATCGTTTCTGGTCCATACCAAGGTACCCTCGAACAGGCCACCGGACGGACCATGCTCCGCCACGGGACGTGGCCCGCTCGGACCTGATCAAAGATGACTTCTGGGTGTGAGTCCTAAAGGCTTGGCGTAGCCTCCCATTACCTAACAGACCTCTGTCGACAAGGTGGGAGGAGGTGATGCGCCAACCTCTTTTCGGGAACAGGTGGGTGACCGACAGACACAGTAGGGTGTACCGTAGTTCAGACACCCCGTGGAATAGCTGGGTCAAAAAAGGCATAATTAGAATAAAAGACATATGGGACACCCAAAAGAGGGATTGGAAAACAGCACTGCAGCTAAAACATACGCTAAAGCATTGTCATAAGGTAAAGGAAAATTTAGAGCTGCTGATTTTTGCAGTCCCGCTGGACTGGGTGCGGATCCTACTTAGAGGGCCGCAGCTAAGGCAGGGGGATTGGGTGGTGGTCCCAAGGGATCCGGAAAGTGTGGGCAGTGTGGTGGAGGTGCGTTCTGACGAAACATTGATTAACCTCTTCCACGTAGACAGGGACAACATCCTCGTCCRTTACAGCCCGGATGTAACGAGATGGCAGCGAAACATGSACCTGCTCAGGATCCGGGTATTCCTAGAAAAAGACAAGTGGATTGCGTTCCAGCCACAGACCCCTGTGACAGAACTTCCATTCGACCCTCTGGAATGGCAGTGGGCCCCTCCGCGTAATTCTAGAACAAGGGAGAATCGGAAGYTGTCCTCCTTAACAGTGAAGGCCACATACCGYTTGCTGCGAYYGAAGGTGAACATAAAAGAAATCRTGAAAGCGCGGTGGAGGTCACACCTAAATGTAGGAACAGATGCAATCCGCCCCATCAGATGGTTCACCGCCACAAGATCTAGGCCAGCAAAAATGGCCTCGCTGCAATGGCAGATCGAGCACCGTTGCCTGCCCACGAATAACTGGCTTATAGATCGCACGCAGCTGGAACAGAAGGGACAGGCACTGCCGTGGTGCAAATCGTGCCACACTGCTTTCCCCTCCTGAAAAATCCCCGAAACTATAGAACACATTTTCATGCAGTGCCCGGGGGCGGTTCTCGCCTGGCGATGGTGGGACAGAATCTGGACCTCGCTGGACACGGACTCAAACTGGCCATGGGACTGGAGAGCCATACTATGTGAAACTTGGACCTCCCCCACCAACAACACTTTTGAGAACAATATGTTCAAGACAGGGAGAAGGGCAGTCGTATGGGCCCTCTGGAGAAAGCGCTGCATCTACACCATGGAGGAAGTCCGCATAGAGGGGGAAGAAGTTACAGATATGATAAAGCAATACGTCCAGCAAGAACTCACAGTACAGTCGCAAAAAGTTAAAAATCAACTCGATCTGTTCCAAACACCACAGGACATAACTCGTGGAATACACCAATTCTCCGGGGACTGGCTGGGCAGTGAGGAAGGGGGATGGATGGCAAGAGTGATTTGGGATGGAAAGCCCACCCAGGCGTGCAACCTGGGGGATTTCAAGAGGGATTACCAGATCTGCTTCATGGATTGGACTACAGTTGGCCAGGCAATTCCATTACGACCGGCATCAGACTTCCCCGACCCCTTCCCGCCTCACAACCTGGCGTTGGTAGACATGCAATGGTACGGTGCGGATTGAGGGAGTGATGGCACAGTACAAGTTGGCAATAGCTGGCAGAAACAAGGCCGGGCAGATATGTAATAGGAATGAGTGGGTCTGCAAGGGGGGGGGAGGAATCAGGGTGGGATAGCAGATATCTAGCGCCTGGCTCAGGGTGAAGAGGTTCCCCCCCTCCCCACATCCTGCTCAGTCAATCCCCTGGAACCCAGGGTAATCAATGGTGGCAGGGATATGCCTACAATTTCTTTTCTGATGAAATCCGAATTCTGTCCATGTAAGGGACGCTGGACCCGTTTTCCAGCAGGTGTTGCTCCCCACCAATAGATGGAGCTCCCCCAGGTGCTAGTGGTGTCTGCTCTTATCAGCACCACTAGCACTGACGGAGGCTTGTCCTAAAAAAAAAAAAA